TGCCCAGTTGCTTCGTTGCTGTTTAGAGAAGGGAGCTTTCTCGAATGTAGCTGCAGGTGTGGGAGGTTCGCCACACTATTTGAGCGGCCATGTGTCTTGCTTTCTGCCAGCCGTGGGTAAGGATGCTGCACAGAAAAGAAATGATGCAGTGGAGACGTGGGTTGCAGTTCCTGCTGTGTTTGCACCCCCGTCGGGTTGACGATGTTATGTCGAGTGCTTGCAGGAGGCCATGAACGTGCGGAAGCAGATGCTTGTCCAGTACCGGTTTTCAGGCTTCACAAATGTTGCAGGGCGAGCTTGCAGTCTGCTGGTAGGGATGAAGCCTGTGGTTTGTCTTCAGTGCTTGCACCACAGGTGTGCAGGCCAGCTGTGCCAGCCCATACATGGAGGCCAGATCTGTTTAGCCCAACACATCTCAGCGGACTGTTTTTTGGCAGTGGGTGCGTCATGCATTGAGTCGTGCAGAACTATATCAACTAACCGAGTGGCGTGGCAGCACAAAATCGGGAGACGTTGGGCCATCCAGCGACTCTCGGCGTGGGTTGGACTATGCAGGCGAAGGCCCTCCGCACACGTTTGCAGGGTGCGCCTCTGGCGTTGGAGGGCGCGTATGCGGGTAAGCAAAGCGGTGCGCTTTTCAGTACCGAACACATTTTAAAGACAAGGCAAAACATTGTAGTCCTTTCTAATGTGTGTGTACGCAGTGGTGGGCAGTGAGCATGATCGGACAATATTTTCAAGCCCTTAGCAAAGGCAAGAATGGGCACAGTGCACTCAAGCACCGCCTGATTTGTGCGTTTTTCAATGCCGCCAGTGTGCGCAACTTCGTTCGTAGCAATGGCTGGAAGTGGGAGTGTCTTAAGATATCGGCGGCAGGCAGTGCTGAGGCGCAAGCAGTTGTCAAAGGGCGCTCTTCTGTGCTTCACACCTGGGTCCCTGGAGTTGCGACATGTGCGTCACGTTCGTTGGTTAGCGCGTCACTGGCATGCCCGGCGGCCTGGCATTGAAGGTTCATGATTGTGAGCTCATGACCTAGAGCTGCAGCCAGTTCAGCCAGTTCCACAGCATTTTGTCTGAGGCATTGATCACGCTCGTACTTCGTGGCGTCAGAGACGGGGTGACATTCCCGTAGCTAAGGCAGCACAAATTCACGAAAACGGCGCGGCTCTCTGCAAGGAATTTAGTAGAGCCGGATATCAATGACGAGCAAGTCGAGCATGGGGGTACGTTGTGCGGGACCAAGTGCGTCTGGGTGCTTCTAGGCAAGACCGCGTGCATGTGTTGGACAGCATTGGCCCCGGACGACTCTCTGCTTCCTTGCAGGCGTGCATAGGTCGCACAGTCTACTGCATCGCAGGCGGTGCCTAGATTTACATGTGGTAGTAGGCCAGAGCGGTGAATGCTCCAATGGCGGTGTGGGCTGCAGCATTGTGTTTTCGCCTGGCAGGTGCTGGCACTCTGAGGATCGAGAATAATGTTTATTGTAATGTGTTGCAATAGCTGTTCCGTTAGCAGTGCGGTTGTGCTAGAGGGAGGTCTGAAACCGGCATGCGGTGAGTTGTTTTAAACAGCCGTCGAAGAAATACTTGACATCTCGAATGGACACCAGATTTTGGCTGGAGGGGTGCCTGCAGCGCTGACCAGTACGGGCGGCCTAGCTAAGTGGTGGCAGAGCCTGGTTCAGGGTCAGTTAGCCGAATGCAGCTGCGTGCAGTGCTCGCGAAGCCATCTCCATCGACTCTGTTTCTAGACAGGTTGTGTTCCAACCTCGCACTAAGTGTGATCACCGCTATCGACGGTTTCACGTGCATGTTGGGACGCGATAAAGGCACGATTTGTCGGCCTGGGAAGACACAAACAAGGGTATTAACTTGTTTTGAGCCACAGGGTTTGCTGATGCAGAGCATGCGTTAGGAGTATGGACAAGACTGAGGCATGCACCAACTTCCGACCCACAGAGCGTCTGCGTTGCATCAGGCCAACCACGTTTGCCGCACGAATGGATATAATAATTTTATGTTTCGTGTAGGTGAGCGTCTCAGCCAAAGCATCGGCAGGGACGCACCGCGCAGCTCTCTGACAACCTCATCATCGCAGCATTCGAAGCTAAATGCTGCGGAATTCGCTGGTTCAGGGCACACCCACGAATGGCCCCTTGCGGCCCAGGGATATCTCCATTAGTTCCTTTTTAACTCGCCTTTCCACTTTATTCCTTGTGCGCGAATGTACTTGTACTTGCGAAGGCAAGCCGGAATGGGGAGTGGGCAAATAACTAGCCCAGCGCCTGCCATGACTAGCTTGCCTCACGCAGTCACCGACCTGTGGATACCTGCTGTAGCTTGCCATATGGATAATTAGAGTGCGAGTGTATGGAGATCTGAGAGTGGACGGCATGGAACGTTGGCAATCATGAGCGCGGCCATGGCTAGGCTGCATTAACTGTAACCATTAGATACACTGTCAATAATCCAGGAGATGGTGGAACAGCGTTTGGATTGCCGTATGCTTTTCTTCAATGACTGGAGTGCGTGCACAATTTTCCAGGTGAAACAGGCCACAGCAGTTACATCACTGGATTGTAGGAAATGCCTTGCCAGGAGAGGAAAGTGCGGCCAAGAACCGCAATGGCGTAGGAGCTATTGGGCACCAAACCGAAGTCAGCGTCCTTCAATTGGAAGTCTGTTTGAAGCAAAAGAGACGGAAACGGACCCACCGTGCCCGCCGTTGCTCCATGTTGCTTCGGTCCATCAATGACCCCGCCACCGTCATGCGGTAGCACGCAGCTAGGGGTATGCAAATGCCGATTCATAGGTTGTGCTGAAGCCATACGTGCAATACAGATTTTTGCATGGATATTCATACTCTCCTGTTCATGAGTAATGATGACGCTTAGACACTTCAGCGAGTCCCTAAGCAGCCACTTCGGGGAACAGCGGGTCCAGACCTTGCACGTTTCGACCACTGCGCCACATTTGCGCGTGCCTAGGGACAGATCGGTATTTCTGAGCAAGCGCGTGTGCACGGAAGCCTCACAAGGAAGTGTTGTGGCAAGAGAAAATCCCTTGTAGGGCCTAAATTGACGCAGCGGTTGATTGAATTGCATAGTGTTTGCCTTGCTCATATACAGCAGGCGGTCTAGCACTGGACGTGAAAAATGCGTACTTCCTAGGGGAGATGCAACGCATTCTCTAGAACCCTCCCGATATGGCGCTTGGGCAGCGTCGGATGAAGTGCAGAGCCACGGCCTAGGGCATGTTTAGTGGTCCGCGCTACGTAGAATCGCTTGACGTGGCAACTGGGCAGCATATTAGTGCTCTATAGGTCTATATGGGAACCTACAACATAAAACTGCGAGCTGAGATTCTTTAGTGCATTTTTGTGTTGATGGAACTTACATTCCTGAGAGCTCTACGGCTTGTACGTTCAGGAGCTGCGTTGAGTGTTGTGCTTGAAATAACTGTCGAAAAGAAGGGTGAGGTAGTGGTACGGTGGAGGCTTCGACGTGAGAGAAAGGGCTGCGTAGCAGTCTGCGCAAAATCACTGCGCTGCGGTGTGCACATTTAGTCGCTGAAGTGTATCGCCTACAGGAAAAGACTGCGCGTCGCGCGGTTCAGAAGAAACCTCTTACCAAATCCAGGCAGAAACGCCACAATACGCCGTAGAGAAGAGGCACGTTAACAGTGCAACCAAAGTTCACTGGCAATTTGCACAGCTTCCAGCAAATAGAGTTTCTTCACCGACCTCTAATAGCCTGTCCGTGGTGCCTGGAACGGGTGCTGGTTGAGTAGTCGGAATTTGGGTATTGCTGGAGACGCGATACGACTGGAATTTCTGCCCGCGTATCCATCCCGCGACGTTATTGTGTGGGATGGGTTGGAATTAGGAGGAAGTGCGTGACTGCGAGGAAGTGTGGAGAAGGCGTTGGGAGGGTGTGGCTATGTTTGAGTGATGTGGAGGTCGGCGGTGTGCAATGGGATGGAGGCGGCGTTTGCGCGAATCTTGTTCTAGTGGCGTGCATCTCCTTAGAAGCGGCATTGGTTGGGCAGTGGGAGTTTGGGTATTGCTGTAGACCTGGCGGGATTGGGTTTTTAGCCAGCCCGCTGATCCCGCGACGTTGTTGCGTGGGATGGGTTGGAATTAGGAGGAAGTGCGTGATTGCGAGGAAGTGTGGAGAAGGTGTTGGGAGGGGGTGGATATGTATGAGTGGTGTGGAGGTCGGTGGTGTGCAATTGGATGGAGGCGGCGTTTG